CAAGCAGTCACTGCAGAGTCAGTAACTACTGAGCGCAGATTAAATATATATATATATATATAAATAAATAAAAACAGTTTAAGTTGCCCATCCCCTTTCTCTTTAATTTAGGAAGAGCAGAGTTTACATAGAAAGACTACAAAAGCTATATGTAATTCATGCTCCTTTCCTATTGAATAGTGTTATTTCTCATCCTAGGCTCTTGTTTTTCCTTTGTTTTAAAAATCTGAACATCTTCAAGTATGCCGTCTGTTTCCACATATCACTTCACATCCAACCTAGTTTCCTTGGCTGCCACAGCATCCAGGAAGGGTCAGCAGCTACCAGCCTTCCTGAACTTCCTACTGCCTGATCCATCCAAACTGGCTACTGTAAACAATTTCTGAGAAGGGGGGGGGACTAGTAACTGAATTATCTTTTGTGATTTTGTGCTCTTATTTTGCAAAGGTGAGTTAACTACCTAAGGTTGTTTCCCAAATCCCTATGAAATCCCTTTCTTTTTAAAGAGATAGAACAGAGCAAACAGAAAAGCTCAGAAACTGCCTGGTGCTGCTGCTAATGCTACAGAATTTCTATTGAAGCGTTTCCAGCCCCTTGATGGTAAGCTTTACTGTGTTTATTGCTTCACCTGTATTGAATATCAAGGTTTGTGGCAAGATGAATCATTTAAAAAACACAGTAGAGCATGTTAGCACGAGATAATTGTTTCAGAGGGCATTTGCATCAGAAAAAGTTCCACAGAGTTCAAAAAAGTGCTAAAGCATCTGTAAGCTGGGGATTTTTAAATAGGTAAACTCCAACTGAGCTATATGCTATTGCCTGCTGCTTCATGTTCCTTTTTGTTCCTCACATTTCTGTCAAAACATTAAAGCTGCCATCCTCTTTGAGGCAGGAAAAAGGACAGACTGATGCAGGTAGCGTATTTATGCCATGGAAAGCCTCTCTGGGGATTGCCTTGCAAAAAGGGGGAGGCTATTTTCCAATATACATGGAGCATATATTATTATTCAGAGCATCCTTAGGTGTGCTTAAGAGAGAGAATGGTAAAATGAAGAAGAAAGACAGATATAAATGTGTCTCCTAATTTATGGCCAGTTTTTCTTCAATGCTTTGTTTTTTAAGTGTTTAAAATTCTTCCTTTTTTAATATCAGGAACTCCTAAAAATGGAACCAGGAAATTATAAAATATGAATGTAAGCTGATCTGTTCTTAAAATCTTATCTAGATGTTGATCATTGCTTATAAACCCCACATATGATGAGTGCTTTAAGTTTACTTTGGACTATTCTGCTAGCCTGTGTATGACAGTGGAGGCCAGTGGAGGACAATGGTTTCTTCAGAACTGGTTCACCTTGATCTACATGTTTTTCTGGATGTTTTCTATTTTCCATATTTCCATTTGGAATATAAACATAAAACTATGTAAAGGTATCATTTTTGGGTTTTTTAAACATTACATTGTTTCTGATGTCCAGCTGAATGCTAAAAAAAGGAATGCAGTTCACTCCTGTTCATTTGTGTGATAGGAATGTGTTTGTGTACACCTCTTCAATATCTGTCTTAGAGGGGCCATGTAGCTGAAAAAAAACACCTCCCTGCTCCTTTCAATTTAAAGATTGCACTAGTACATTTGATTATACAGCACTGAAAGTTTGCTGGAGTACATGAATGTACATCCTATCACACTTGTGCTTGAAGTGGGGGGTAGTTATAAGTTTTCCCTCCCCCCTCCATCAGATTATCAGGTGAGTGCCATCCAAAGTTGCGCCAATAAATTGAGCTGTAGCCAACAATAGCTTATTTTGTAATATCAACATCTGGTTGCAATATTATCTGCTCAGTGAACTGCAAATTCTGCATAACGTCAAAACCATTTGCTCACTAGAGTGCAAAACAAGAGAAAAGTCTTGTTCCATTCTTTAATAGCAGATTTTATAACGTGACTAGTGCAAAACAAGAGAAATGGCTTTTTCTCTTCTTTAATAGTGTATTTTGTAATGTGACCATTGTATGTATGACCATAAGGCTCTAAATTTTATCATTTCTTGCTGTAATTATAATATGGGTTTCCTTCATATTTGTTTCATACTAAACCTTCATCTTCAAAGTCCCAGTACAGTCTTTTGGACTAAGGACCATGTCTGCTATTTGAGTAACATGCACGGCAATAGGACAAAAACAATGTTTGATATAGTTTTAATATTTATAAACTGTCCATATATTTAATAATGTTACTCTTCTATACCTAACCATTTTCTATTTGGTAATAGCACTTGGAGGGTGATGTGTAAGGTTTTAGGGGCTACAGATTGGTTATCTCTGGTTTAGACTATAACATAATACAATTTAGCAAAAAATACCTCCCCTTCCCCCAATAACCTGTATGAAAAAGTTGTTATATGAGACATATAAATGTTCCATGGGCAATCTTTGACAAGCAGAGAAAGTTTATGAACATTTTGTGTTTCTGTAAGCTAGCAGGTTTCTAATAGGTCACTATATTTAGCAATACTTTTTGAGAATTACCACAAGAAAGTGACATCTTTGTACTAAATCCATTTCCTACCCCATATGCCTTCAGCTATTCTTGTTATATAGAAGTGAAAAATAATGACGATGTTATTTTCATGAAATTATTTTAAAAGGTATTTAAACACATTTTCTCCCTATTTTGTGTCTCTTGATTCAGGTTAACCAGCAGTAGTTATTTAATTACCAATTGTATGCTAAATTTCCTAATCATTAGGATGTCTTCATGAAGAGGAAGAGAAACATATTTGTTACAAGATTCTCTCATATCAAGAAAGCAATATTCATTATTTTGAATAAACATATGGCAGCAGACAATTTCCAACTGTTCTATCAGCTATTTTCTGAAGTAGAGGAATCAAACTAAGCCAGGTTGGGCAAATTAACCATTGAGCGTTTGGTTATGCTGTTCTTAAGAGGGACCAAGTGGGAGAATGTATTTTAATTAGCAAGAATCTTGTAGGATATGTAAGCAAGATTTTGTCATTTAATTCTTAAAACCTGACTTGCTTAAAATTTCATAGTCTCATCTACCAATGTACCACTCTTACTTTTTCTTTTAAACTCTTTTCACTACATTATTGCATATGAAGACACTTATAAGGACTGTTGATATATTAACTAGTCCTGTAATCATCATAGACAGACAAGAACTTTAAACATAAAGAACCATGTACAATTTTATCTATAAATATTTCACCTACTCTAAGTAAACTCAAGCTAAAAGTTACTAGAAGAATTATAATTTTGTTTTGAGTCTTCGCTAGGTAAACAGTATGAGTAACTTGTTACTGACATTCGAGCCCTCCAAGAACAATTACTCTGATTATTTAAAAGCTCGTGGATTTAATTATTTCATGTAATGGACTGCCATTGATAGGATTTTGCTTTGTAATAGTTACATTAGTTATAATACTGCTACATGCAGAGAAATGGGTAGTGTTCAAAGTTTATGGCTGCTGGAATATAGTATGCTTTTGTCTTTAGTACTATTTTGTCTCATGTGTACTTACACATATTTAATTGATTAACCAATCAAAAGTCATGCAGTTTACTGATTACTGGTACAATACTATGCATGGCCATGTATAAGTGTTACTGATTTAATAGGTTTTACCTGGAAATAAACGCATACCAGAGATGGGTAATGTTTTCCTTTATGATGATATATGACAGATTTGCTGTCTTAATATGACTTTTAGTGGCACGATTTTCATATTTTAAAGCAAAATAATTCAAAACTGGTTTCTTCTAACAATGTTCAATGAGCTGTTTTGCACCTTAAAATAACCCCACTCAAAAAATCCAAAAGTACCATCTCCTGCAAACTAACTTCATCACCAAAT